AAAATGATCCAATAACAAAATACTATGGAAATTTAATTTGGATTAAAAATCAAGTGAAATTATGAGGTCCATGCCAGGAGATTTCACATTATCTACTAAACTTTGGAGGCCCTCGTCCTTTAATTTCGTGGTGCAAAATATGGCCATGCCTTTCACTGAAATTTGGTAGACTCTATCCACATGCCACACCTGTTTTCTATTAGCTTTGCCATCAACGACTTGGTCTTTTCCCAGCTGGCTTCATATACGATGGGATTTGGTTTTTGCTCCTAGAAATAAAAATTGGAAAATACATAGGTAAACTTCTTATATGCATTGTGTTAAGTTTTTAAATAACACATAACCATGCATGTGGATTTATAATTAAATAATAATATTTTAAAAATATAACCAATATAAAGAGTTTGGTGTAAGTATTGTCAATAAAAATATATTACAAAATGTTTATTATATTAGCATGATGATACTACCTCCGGTCCTTAATATAAGACCTCATTTGACTTTTAGTTTGATCCTAAATATAAGACCTCAATCCGTTTTATCTCTTATATTTATGAATTTTTTTCAAAGTAGTCCTTCTAATATTGGTAGTTATAGCTAATATACTTGATTAACAAGGATATTTTAGGAAAGACAACACATATTTATTACAAATAACTAACTTAATTTCTTTTTTTAATCTCTTCAAATTAGTCAATTAGTTCTTATAATCAGAAACGAAAGTAGTATTATCTTTTTCCTTTTCTCATCCGCACCGTTTTCGGAGAGAATGACCTTAAACTATTCCTTTTTCTTTTTTTAATCAATCTTCTCGACCAACCAAAACATCTTTCATTATATTAAACTATCATAAGGGTTCCATTCCGTGCATGTTTCATCATCACAGTGCAGAACATCATTACATATAAATATACAGATGATCAGTATGGTTTTCAATTCACAGGAATCATGTAACAATATATATAACTATAGGGCAGAGAAATAGTTTATATTATCTTCACGTATACTGAAATTAAAGTAATAATGAAAGGGTTAGTGCCTAACGTTTCCCTAACATCTAGCATAGTTGCCCATATCAGTTTGGACCATCCATGTATACAATTTGCCTTGCGATGATAGCTACATGAGTCTAACCTCAAATAAAATAATACAAACAGTATTACTTTCGACGATGAGATGTTGATGGAAGAGTATAAAATATGTAACTGATGAGTATAAGAGCATAAACGAAAGCTTACAAGCATATGTAATAAACAAGATAAGCCTAATTACCCTTTGCCTGCATTAATGTTTCTGGACCACTAGGCAACTATAAAGGAACATTTTCAAAAAGCTTATTAGTTGAACCTCTCATCAATATTCAATTGTAACAAGTAATAACTATATATACGTATTTGGTTTCTTTTTAAAATAACAAGACATGTAACCAGGGCAGGCTAAATTGACAGGCACCTACACATTTCTGAAATAATGAATCCCACTGGTCCAGCTTGTTAATAATGATTCTGCAGTAAAAGAAGGCTACTATACAGAAAATACAGTGGTATTATATATGTAAGCAGATTGTTATAGTGCACATGTTCCTGTCAATACAGATAATAGCTGAAAGTTGAAAGGGATATTTATGGCTTTGAGCTTCATGCTTCCACCTACTCCTGACCCCATATTTATATCTGTCTGAGGACCAGAGAAAAAAGCGATACACAAGCCCAATGTCACCTGCCTGATGCATCTGAATTGATAGCTCTAGGACCAGCAGATTTAAAGGTCTTTGAAATACGCAAAAAGACAGCTTGTGGATATTGCTCAAATTATGAATTCCACAATCTCATTTGTTGGCGTTGATCATGATTAGCCTTGACTTTTGTGTGTTGTACTCACAATAATACGACAGAATTCAGTTCAGGAATTAGTTTTTCATCAAGTGAAAGTTTTTAATATTATCCGTGGTTTTTAAGAAGCCAATCAGAGGACGACAAACATTTCTCTGGTTTCTGTTCCTGCTTAATTACTTTTCCATCTGGCTTGTCTCAACTTAGCAGTTGTTTAGGGATTATGGTGCTTTCAACGAGTCATACCCATTAACGAATGCAGAAATTGTGATTCAATTCATTACTTCCTTTTGAGGCATGTTCTGAAGTAGATTTCAACCACCCTAGTCTTAGATTGGATTATTATAATCCACTTGTGTGTTTTTGGCTGTTGAAAAGCTTACATCGGTCTTTAGGAAAAGTTTTTTCTATGTGTGTGCGTATATATATAAATCCCTCCACCTTACTGCCAAAAAACTTTTGTCATTTAAACCAACGCCTATCCTTCATGCTGACAGTCATGTCCTCTAAAAGACAAGACAGAAGACATATATATAATTCCTATAATACTTTGATACTTAGTATAAAGCACCACAAACAAAGTTGCGGAATATAAATTTGTCAAATGAGACATTAAAGAAATTTATATCAGCAACCTACCAGAATAATATTATTTGGGATTCCTCGTGTCACTGAATTTCATATCAGCTATATGTATACAATAAGTTTAGTGTTCATCTAGTAGGATATTGTTTGTGCTGTGGGTTAAGTAACAAGTCCTGATTGATCAGTACCTAACTGACTTCTTTTTCTTCTTTTGGAAGCAAGACTACTGCGCTTTTTCAGATTTCTTTTTCGGCCTGACGATTTTTTAAGCCTTATTTGCTCCATGAATGATGAAATTTGCCTTATGCTTAATGCACTAGGGAAAGGATACATCAACAATGCACGAATTTCTTTTTATACCCCCGAACATTCGATGCATTAAAACCTCGATTTAGATTACGAAAATAAAATGTAGTAATCGTTATTAAAATTTTTATTAGATTCTAGCTGAAGAAGAAAAAGAGAACTTGTATCCAATCTGTTTAATACCTTCAATTCCAAATGTTAAAAAAGTTTTTGTTTTGTAGGGACGAAGGCACATGCTAACGGGGCTCTCTGGTGCTTCCTGCGATTGGACCTCCAGCCTTATACGCAATGCTTATAGATTCTTTCATCACTGTCAGCCCATCAAATAAAAACAATTGGCCCATTACTAGGGAAGGTTTTTTTTTTTGGAAAAATATATTTGCCAGTCCCTATAGTTTGATCAGATTTTGAATTAGGTCCTTATAATTTTATTTCTTTTTATTGAATCCCTTTAGTTAATCTTGTTAAATTTATCAGTCTTTCTGTTAGTAAAGGTTGCAAGCACTGTTAATGTAAAGGGATAGAGTGTGATCTGCTACTCTCTCACACAAAGTTTGCTACCCCCTCTACCATCTGTCTCTCTCATCTCTCCAAGCTAACCATTCGCAAACTCCCAAAAGGAGTGAAGAAGGACTCTCTCAAGTTGCTAGTTTGTTTAAAATTTAAAAGTTCAGAAGTCTGAGTATATTGAAAAACTTTTAAGTAAAGAAAGACGAAGTCCCCCATTAATACTTCCTATACCTCGATTGTTATCCCAACTTCTAAGCACTTACGCAGTTTAAAATTTTGCCTCTATGCTAATGGTGAAGCAATATGGTGTCTTCCATTGAGTCACGTGATCGAATCTGGCGCTCCTTAATTGAACTAAAACTTCCAAGCACTTACCATCTTCTCTCGTCTTTCTCTCTCTCTCTCTCTGTGTCTGTGAGGTCGCAATTACAAGAAGCTCCATTTAAGAGGTTTGCCATGATTGTTGCTGAAGCAGTGCCTAAGCCAAATCTTCAGGGTGTCTTTCCCACGGCAAAGGACCACACTTTCTCTTCAGCTAGAAGGTACTCCTTTCATTTCTTTTCTCTGTTCATACATGCTCTATTTTTCCTTGTTTCAAGCATCATGAAACAGAACCAAGAGAATGAATTGAAACTCTCTGCACAAATCTTGTATTTTTCCACATATTGGAAGGAAAAGTGGCCATAGTGATCAGAGGAGTGGGAGGAATAGGCGAAGCAATGGTAAGACTGTTTGTGAAGGAAAGAGCAAAAGCTGTGATCGCCGACGTTGAAGACGCACTTTTTGGTTAGATATTCTGTACCATTAGAACTTATCTATGCTTAACTCTTTAGCTTAACTTGAGGATCTTGGGATTTAAACAGAAAGTTTTCCTTTAGCTTTCTCTGTGCCAGTTTAAATTTCTTGTGATCTCATGCCACTGGCACTGCTGCTTAGTTTGTAAACTGAGCTTTGTAATTCCAATCTCTACTTGAAGAGGCAATATTTCTATCAGCCACTTCTTTCACTGTCCAAAGAAGACATGGAAAACTAAGAGAAATCCACATACAACTAGCTTGACATAATCTTCAACAATGTTGAGGTGTTAGGGAATCAATCAAAGAACAAAAGATTGTCAACTTCGACGCCAATGAGTTCGATTGAGTCATGTGAGTGAACGTGAAGGGTGTAGCTCTAGAATCAAGCATGTAGTAGAGTGATGATACCTAGGCAACTTGGGCGCATCATACCGACGTCGAGTGCCGCAGGAGTCAAGGGAGGACTGGGTCCTCATGCTTATAAAGCATCAAAGCATGCCATGGTTGGGCTCACGAAGAACACAGCTTCTGAGTTGATGAAATATGGGATTCAATTTAGCTTGTGAGTTGGGAAAATCCTATCAAACTCATCATGGTTAGCTTGGAGAGATGAGACAGACAGATGATAGGGAGAGCCACATACTTGGGTCAGAGAGAGAGAGTGAAAGATCACCCTTCACCACTTTACATTAACGGCATTTGCAACTCTTACTAATGGAAGGACTGACGAATTTAACAAAATTAACTATAAGGATTCAATAAAAAAAAATAAAATTATAGGGATCTAATTTAAAATCTGATCAAAATATAAGGGCCGGCAAATATATTTTCCCTTTGTTTTTTTGTAAAGAAAAGTCAAAGTTGAGAAATGAATTGTTCGACCGTTGACGCATTCATCATTATCTATTAACTTCATATACACAGCCACATGCAAGGTAAAAGAAAAAAAAAAATTGGAGGAAAAGGTATATAACTAATCCAAAAAAGTACTTAAACTAATTGTATGATATCTAACAAAGTAGCTGAATTTATATTGTAAAAGCAACGCCTTGTTTAATTTGCAACGAGCTCTGCACACCTCTAAACTTGTATTATCTATTTCTTATGCTGCCGTCTCTGTTTTCTAATTTCCGGTGAGCCCAAAACCCAATATCTACATTCGTCTCCAGGGTCATTAATTCTACCTTCTAAAACATAGCTCCCATAAATTTGCTGCTTAACATTATCAAACTCATCTGGCTTCAAGTAAGCTTATTGTGACTTCATTGGTTGAGCTACGTTGCTTTTGACTTGAACTGGAAGTGTGTGGTTGAATTGAATCCTTCCCATGAAAGAAACCTGGCTGTTTAGGCTCAGGAAGTTCAGCTTCACTTTCCAACATCAGAACTGCAGATGCTATTGTAGGCCTATCTTCTGGATGTTGCTGCACACACAATAAGCTCACATGAATGCATCTTAATATTTCTGACACATTGCAAGTTTCCTCTATGTTCTTATCAATCAATTCTAACGACCTTCCTTCTTTCCACTGTATCCATGCCTGAAACAATTAACTTGGTTATCAGTTATCTCATTTTAATAGGGAACAAATAGAAAATGTTATAAAACTGTATATGATTGATACAGTACATACATAAGCAGTAAGGTTGTGTTTGGAGTCCTCTAGATAAAAGCCCCTATTTTTCTTTCCACATATAATCTCCAATACCAATACGCCATAACTAAAAACATCAGATTTCATTGAATATAGCCCATCTGCAGCGTATTCGGGTGCCATGTATCCACTATAAAGTATCCATTGAAAGTTAGAATAAAATAATTACAGGAGATATTAGAAAGGATGGAACATGATAATTTGAAAGTGATAGTCAAGCAAAAGACTTACTATGTTCCAACTACTCTATTTGTATTTCCTTCTGTTTGTTCTTCTCCAAAAGTTTTAGCCAACCCAAAATCTGATATTTTCGGGATCAACTTGTCATCAAGTAAAATGTTACTTGTTTTTAGATCTCTATGAATAATTCTTAGTCTTGAATCTTGATGAAGATACATGAGACCTCTACCAATTCCCAAAATAATATTGAACCGCTTAGACCAATCTAATAACTCTCCTTTGCTTTCATCTATAAATGTCGAAAAGCAAACATGATCAATGATTAGAACTAATAATTCAAGATTGATAAGTGGTTTCATTAATCATCACTAATACTAAGATAACCCATGCAATTAAAAACTGCATTAAATTTATACCAAAAATGAAGAAGTTCAAACTTTTATTTGGCATGTATTCATACACCAACATTTTTTCTTGCTCATGGATGCAACAGCCGAGAAGTTTCACCAGATTTCGATGTTGGAGTTTTGCAATAAATTTTACTTCATTTTTAAACTCCACCAACCCTTGCCTTGATTTTATTGAAAGCCTCTTCACAGCAATTTCTTGTCCATTCAATAATTTTCCCTGCATGCATGCAGTGATTTGTGAGCATATCATGATAATACTTATTTTGCATAGCAGATTGTTCTTAGTTTATATTTCAGATGCTGAATTACCCAATAAACAGGTCCAAATCCACCTTCTCCGATCTTATTCTTGGCGGAGAAGTTATCAGTGGCGCTTGTTACTGTTGCCGGATCAAACAAGGGGAGATCTAGATCATCCTCTGGACTCTCACCGTATGGAATATCATCTCTCACATCTTTTGATTTAGCTGAAAGCATGGTAGGGAAAAAAAAAAATTAACTTTCTGTACAGGCAAGGGAGAAAAAATGGAAAACAATCAATATTAATTCCCTTTGGGGTCTGAAAACAGTCAATATTTAAGCATTAAAAATCAGTCTACTACCTTAACTACATAATTCACGTATAATCTGTACCCCTGTAGTTAAATTTTACTTGACATGATTTTAGCACCATATTTACAAATAATAGAGATATACCTAGCTGGTCATGCCGTATTAGTTCATAACAATCGTCGCAATTGTAGAAAGAAACCTGAAACTTCGGAACATAAGAAAATAAGGTCAAGTAACTTTACCAGTTCTGTTTCTGCGGACTCTGTAGATGATATAGCCCCCAACTAAAAGCAGACCAAAAGTTGCACCAAAGGTGATAGTAACGATCATTATCAACTTCTTTTTATTCCCAGATTCTGCAATTGTGGTTGAAATCATTCAAACTTTTAGAAACTAAGACGAAATCATGAATTGAATGGGGTTAGTTGGCTACTTTCAAACAAGAAAACGAACATATAAATCAGAAAGTACAAGTCTTTACTTAATTCTGAAGCATCCATTCGAACATATAAATCTTGCCCCCCAGACGCATAATATCTGACATCAATTAGATCACCAAACCATAAGGCACAACCACTACCTCCCCCTCTGATATCTGAATTAGTATAGGCCGTGCAAGAACAATTCTCCAAGCACTTCCTTTTGCATTGCTCTAGATTCATTGTCCTGTCAAGCCAAGAAAACGTAGTGTCTGGCACCTTCAAGCCTTTGAATTTAATGAACCCATCTTTGTCTCTTTCTGAGCAATTCAGAGGTTTCTTTCGAACACACCCGTCTGCCCAGTCCACCGAATTCCAGTTTTGTGGCGACTTAGGGGTGAAGCCTCCCAAGCATTCGCACACCGGCGATTCAGTAATAATACAATTCCCATTTGGTCCACAGAGGCCATAGGTATCACAGTAATCTACAGGCTTGGTGGAATAAACCTGCCATGTTTTTGCAGTTTCCAGCCATACATAACGATACCGAGCAGATTGTGTTTGGTTCAACACCAATCTTGTCAATATAGAATTGTTATTCAAAAGGTCCATGTAATAGATGCCATCCTTATTGTCGACAAAGATGAAGTCGAAAACAGGGTTGGGCTTTATTTCAGGACCACCACTCCCATGAAAGCCATTCCATGGTCCAAATCGATAGAATCTTTTGTTCCCCTTCATCAAATACGAATCGGGATAGCCATGGAGCACTTCAACGCTAGTTAAATCACCGGGAGATGGATCATCTGGCCTCTTCCAAGCCGTTAAATACCATTGCCTACCAGTTTTCAAGTCCCATCCATATTTCATGCCTGGCAATAACGTATCAGAAGGATAGTCAAAGCTTTGCCATGAATAAGCATCTGGGTCTTCTCCGCTCTTATCCATCACCACAAGATTTCCAGAATCCAAGAGCCGTGCGGTTGGACTCTGTGCTTTTGCAGTGGAGTTTGTTGACCAAAGAACAGTGTTGTTTTGGGACAGAACAAGGTTGCCGGAAGTGGTCATAGTCAAGGCAACAGATGAATCATTGATTGGGTTGAGGCGGTTTGCAACCCAGACAACGGTTTGAACCGGGATGTTCTTGTACCAAATGCCAAGGTAACGTTTGTTGGAAGTACCAGGAGTGAAGAAACCAAGTTCAAAGGTTCCATCTTTCGAAACCAAGGTGGTTCCATTGTCCCTGAGGGACTCGGACCCACGAAGGGAATCCTCTGCTGTGGAAGGCTTGAAATAGGGAAGAATGAAAAGGATGAAGATACTCAAGGAAGGAAGAAGGCCCATGAAAAGTGGAATGAAGCCGAGGAGTCATAAACTCCAGAATTTGCTTGCTTCTAAGTGCGTATTGAACTGCTGATCGATTGCCGAAACGAGAAAGGTGCTGATTTAACATCATTTGTTGGCTTACTCCTTGACTTAGAAATTTATTTAACAATTTATTTGCGGAATTTTGTGTTTCACTTTGACTTGGGAATGTAAGGTTGGAAATGACTGAATTCAATGGAGGGCCAGCGACGTTTCTGGAGGAAGATCTGCCTTGATGATGAAATCTTAATGCCTGATTTCTTGAATTTTTATTGTTGCAGTCGATTTCTTCATTTTTTGCGTTGGCAAAATAGAATTACGAATGCTTTTGTCAAACGAGAACAAAGGCAGAGGGAGAAGTTTATTGCCATATTAGGTCAAAAAATAGGTCTTTTCAGGACACAGTTTCTTTGAAGTTTCTTAATATGGGTTATATCGACACTATGTTTCAAAATAATGCAAGTTTTTTTGCCGCAGCGTTTTCAAAGTCAAACTGCTTCAGTTGCAAAATCCTTGGGGAATCGAGTGACAAGAACATAGGTGCAATCCGAACCGTTGGTGTCATCTAACGGCTTAGCTTCATATGACGGGGGCATTAATCAACTAGTGCACACCCAGTTCTGCACGAAAGTGCCACTAATTCAAAAGTTGACTTGAAATGATTTTGACTTTGAAGGACCAAAGGATTATAATCCTCAATTAAGAATTCAGCACCAACGTAGTGCGTGCTTTTTGGAAGAAGCAAATATTCCTTATCTCTCACAGTGTCAAAATTTTCCTAGTTAAATCTCTAGCAATAATCAACTAAGTTACTCTTCCGATCCTTAATATAAGACCTAATTATTAAATTAATTTTGGTTCTAAATATAAGACATATTTATCATATTTATTAATTTTTTTTTAATTTACCTCTATGAATGCTCCCTCAACTATAATCAAGTAGAAAATGGAGAGAAGATATTAAGGAAGATGATTATGGTATTTTAGAAAAAATATGTCATATTTCTTATAATTAACTAACTTATCTAACTTTCTTAATCTAATCAAATTAGTTAAATATGTCTTATATTAAGGACCGGATGAGTATAATTTATTTCTTTTTAGCAAAAGTTAAAATTTATTTTAAAAAATTTATATGTACTTTTCTATTTTTGTTATTTTTTAATTAGCTCCTTATAATTTCTTTTAACTCATGAGGCATGTAGATGGAAACCAAATTATGATTTTAAAAATAATTTTATTGTATATGAAGTAAGTATGCGAAAAAAATTCTGCTTCAATTTGCATAAAATACTTTTTAGAAATGCTTCATAGGAAAATCAAACACCTCCTTAATTAGGTTTTGTGTTCCAAATGACTGATGTACAAAGATCACAGAGGCCTAGTCAAAAATCAAGTAAAACCATAAATACCTGATAAAAAAAATAAAAAACTTAATTAAAAATCAAGGACTTATATTTTTCCTAATTTATCATCTCAAACAAATAATTGTCTATTATACCTACATATTGATCATCATCACATCCTCATGCTCCATCCTCCCTATAAGTAAACTGGCTTTCAGAGGACAGTCCTTATACAGGACAGTAATAGGTCAGTTATAAAAGCCGATTGATGCCTGGTACATAAATCTGTAACCTGGTTAATTAGAAGCTGATAAGGACATCAACAGTTGTCTAACGAATAATGAAACATAATAATCATTTCATGGTTCGAGATAGTGTTCATAGGAGTCAGATATATGGCACTTTGTTATTAAGTTGCATGTGATGCAATTATAGCAGTGTATAACATGAACCTATGTATTAAGCCCATCACCAAACCATGACATTATGTTTACTACTCAACATAATCAAATTCATCTGGCTTGAAGTAAGGTCACTGTCATTTCATTGGTTGAGCTTCGTTCCTTCTGACTTGAGTTGGAAGTGTGAGGTTGAACTGAATCCATTCCATGAAAGAAACCTGGCTGTTTAGGCTTAGGAAGTTCGATTTCACTTTCCAACATCACAATTGCAGATGCTATGGTGGGTCTATCTTCTGGATTTTGTTGCACGCACAAAAGGCTCACATGAATGCACCTTAATACTTCTGATACATTGCAGGTCTCCTCTATGTTCTTATCAATTAATTCTAGAACCCTTCCTTCATTCCACAGTATCCACGCCTGCAACTCAAAACTTGGTCATCAGTTATGCCATTTCAATTTGACCGGGAAAAAAAAAGGGTCAGAATATTGTATATTTAACTACTCACATGACCAATAAGGTTGTGCTTGGAGTCTTCTAGATAAAACCCTCTATTTTTCTTTCCACATATAATTTCTAACACTAATATGCCATAACTGAAGACGTCGGATTTCATTGAATATAATCCATCTGCAGCATACTCTGGTGCCATGTATCCACTATAGAATATCCATTAGAAGTTCAGAATAACACAGTTAACGAAGATATGGAGAGGATTGAGCAAGATACTTTTAAAGGAAGAGTTAGATCTAAGAAACTTACTAAGTTCCCACTACTCTGTTTGTATTGCCTTCTGTCTGTTCTTCTTCAAAAGTTTTAGCTAACCCAAAATCTGATATTTTTGGAATGAACTTGTCATCAAGTAAAACGTTACTTGCTTTTAAATCTCTATGAATGATTCTCAATCTTGAATCTTGATGAAGATACATAAGACCTCTACTAATTCCTATAATAACGTGGAAACGTCTAGACCAATCTAACAACTCTCTTTTGGCTTCATCTGCCAACATTAAAAAGTAAATATGTCACTTGAACAGAATCATCAATATATTGTATAAAACATATAATAAGGTGCATTATTTATATTAGCCACAAACAATGCGCCGCCTCAAAATTTGTTTAATGCGTGTGAAAATATATCTTCTCATTACTTTAAAATTGATAAGTTGCTTCATTATTGACACTAAAATAGTCCATGCAATTAAAAGCTTTGCTAAATTTATACCAAAAATGAAGGAGTTCAAACTTCTATTGGGCAAGTATTCATACACCAACATTTTTTCTTGCTCGTGGATGCAGCAGCCGAGAAGTTTCACCAAATTCCGATGTTGGAGTTTTGCAATAAATTTTACTTCATTTTTAAACTCCGCCAATCCTTGTCTTGATTTTATTGAAAGCCTCTTTACTGCAATTTCTTGTCCATTCAATAATTTCCCCTGGATGTAGACACATAAAAGCATATTATGATAATATTCATATTATGCATAGCAGTAATTCTTAGTCTATGATTCAAATGTTAAATTACCCAATATACAGGTCCAAAGCCACCCTCTCCAAGTTTGTTCTTCTTGGAGAAGTTATTAGTGGCATTTGCTATTGCTGCAAGATCGAACAAGGGGAGATCTTGATCATCCTGTGGATTCTCATCGCCTCGAACATCATCTTTTACATCTTCCATGTTAGCTGAAAGCATGATAGGAAAGCATTAACTTTATGTCCGAGAGAGGAAGAATTGAAAAGCAATCAGTATTCGTGAACTTGTTAGAATGACTTGAAGCACCATTCTTACTCAACTAATTTTGATGTCGCTTGGGAAAACCTTGCATTTTAAATAACCTTACTATCAAGCTCACCTAGGATTGAAATCATGCGACTGTAAGTATAAATGTGTAGAGGTAAGGATAAATCAACACTAATGTCAGGAGGAAGAATAATGTCCTAATTTACCCCCATTGTCTAATAATATACTCATTCTAAGAACTGGAATAAATACATATCAAGAAGATTGTGAATGAAGTCCCCTGTTCAGGTTCTAAACGGTATGCTATTAATTAGTCCTTGGCCTAATATCTAGTATCTATACATAGCTCTATTTCACTTTCACTTCACAAGTTCTTTAGCACCACTTAAACAAATAATAGATTATACGTAGATATTATTGCCGTATAAGTTCACAACGGCCATAAAAAAGTTATAAGAAGAAACCTAAAACGCTGGAACTTAACGACAAATAAGAACTTTACCTTTTCTCTTTCTGCGAACTCTGCAGAAGATACAGCCCCCAACAAAAAGTACGCCAAAAATTACACCAATGGTAATGGTAACGATCATTATCACCTTCTTTTTATTTTCAGATTCTGCAGTCGTAGTTGAATCACTCAAACATTAAGAATCTGGTTAAAACCACGGCTTGAAAGTGGTAACTCGAATACTCAAATATGAAAATGAACATCATAAGGAGAAAGCAAGAATCTTTACCTAATTCTGAAGCATCCATTCGAACATATAGATCTTGCCCCCCAGACGCATAATATCTGACATCAAGTAAATCACCAAACCATAAGGCACAACCACTACCTCCCCCTCTGATTTCTGAATTGGTATAGGCCGTGCAAGAACAATTCTCCAAGCACTTGCGTCTGCATTGCTCTAGATTCATTGTGCGATCAAGCCAAGACAGCGTAGTGTCCGGCACCTTCATGCCCATCAATTTAATGAAACCATGTTTGTCTTTGTCGGAGCAGTTAAGAGGTTTATCTCGCACACATCCATCAGTCCAGTCCACCGAATTCCAATGTTGTGGGGACTTAGGCGTGAAACCATTTAAGCATCGGCATACAGGCGATTCAGTAATGATACAATTCCCATTTGGTCCACAGAGGCCATAAGTATCGCAGTAATCTATTGGCTTCGTCGAATAAACTTGCCATGTTTTGATATTTTCCAGCCATACATAACGATACCGAGCAGAGTCTGTTTCGTTTAACACCAATCTTGTCAAGACAGAATTATTATTGATAAGGTCCATGTAGTAGTACCCATCCTTATTGTCAACGAAGGTGTATTCGAAAACAGGGTTGGGCTTTATTTCAGGACCACCACTCCCGCGAACGCCATTCCAAGGTCCAAATCGGTAAAATTTTTTGGTTCCCTTCATTATATATGAATCCGGATAGTTGTGGAGCACCACAGCACTAGTAAATTCTCCAGGAGACGGATCATCTGGGCTCTTCCAAGCTGTTAAATACCATTGCTTGCCTGTTTTTAAGTCCCATCCGTATTTCATACCTGGCAATAACGTATCAGATGGATAATCAAAGCTCTGCCATAAATATGCTTCTGGGTCTGCTCCGGCCTCATCTATCACCACCAGATTTCCAGAATCCAAGAGGCGGGCGGTTGGACTCTCTGCTTGCGTTGTGGAATTTGTAGACCAAAGAACAGTGTTGTTATGGGAAAGGACAAGATTACCTGAAGTGGTCATGGTTAAGGTAGCAAATGAATCGTTGATTGGGTTGAGGCGGTTTGCAACCCAGACAACGGTTTGAACCGGGATGTTCTTGTACCAAATACCCAGGTAATGTCTGTTAGACGTACCAGGAGTGAAGAAACCAAGTTCAAAGGTTCCATCTTTTGAAACCAAGGTGGTTCCATTGTCCCTGATGAACTGCAACTCGGGAAGGGAATCAAGAGCAAGGGATGGCCGGAGGATAGGAAGAAGGAAACAGGCAACTATAGTGAAGCGAGCAAGAAGGTCCATTTTTTTTTTTTTTGGGGGGGGGGGGGGGAACCGAAGGAGCAAGAAAGAACCTTTTCTGCAGGTTTCTATTAGCATGTGTTGAGCTGCTGCTCGTGGAAGGTTGAAACGACATTGTCCCCAAGTGGCAGTTGTTGACAATTACCGGGACAGGTAGGCTGCGTCGGCGTCGAGGAGCCGTGCCTCAGTTTATTCGATTTTTTTTTTTTTGTGGGGGGGGGGGGGTTGGTTCACCTTTTGACTTGAAAAAATGATTTACGTATTTAATATTGTGTTCAATCTTGAATATAAAAACTAATTTGACTTTCAATTTATTTCTAAATATAAGACAAATTCATTTTGCTTTTTATATTTATCTATTTTTTAAAATAATTTTGTAATAATTGCACATGTAAAATATTTAATCTAATGATAATTTTAACTAATACATTATTAGCGATGGTATTTTAGGAAAGATAACACGTAATTATTATAAATAACTAATTCAACAAATTTTTTAAATCTATTTAAATCAGCCAACTAACTCTTGTGTTAAGAATAAGAACGACAAGATGTAATATTTATTTTTTTCGGGGTGATTTTGAGTTTCCCGTTGACTTAGAACAGTAAAGTTGGCTATCCCCGACTTCAAAGTAACGCCGCCGACGTTTCTTGAGCCAGCTTGGCTTGTGGTGAAAATGGTAATTGTAATGGACATGAACTATGAAGTACTCGATTGAAGCTGCTTTTGTTGATCTAATTAATGTGTTCCCACCGTTTGGGGAGAAAGTCCCGAGATGAATCACAAGAGTTGTTGCTGTTGATGAAGAGCCAGTTCATCATAATTCATGGCGTCTGAACTTGAAAACATGCTCTCAGGTCCAAAAAGGAACTTGAAAACATGCTCTTGTCTTGATAAGTTTCGAAACACTCACCTAAACATTTCTTTTAAATGAGGAACAGTTATTTTAGTCTTCCATTGGATTTATTCTTAATCATGACATAAGGCAGTATGTTATTTTTAATCCTTAATATAATACCACCAATTGATTAATTTGAGGTGATTTAAAAAAATAAATAACATTTTTAAAAATATTATATTTATTTTTTTAAAATTAATTTGTTGGACTTATAAACTAATAGTATATAATCTAATAATACATACAAGTATTTTTAAAAAAATCATATCATATATATTATAATTAAATCATTTATTTAGTTTTTTTAATCTTTTTAGATTATCCAACTAGATCTTATATTAAGAATCGAATGTATTATTTTTTAATATGTTGTTTTATATATTTTAATCAGTAATGCTCTAATTCAATTCTATAACAATTCATTTATACATCATACTTATATTTTTTTTTTTTGCCACCATCATAATTATATGATTCAGTCGTTAAATTTCCAATAATATAGCAAAAGTCATGCATAAATTAGTCTAACCATGTTAAAACTATTTGTATGCGTATGTTCCAAAAAGAAGGGCGATTTTTGCAGTCTTGTTCAAACTCAAACTGGTTTAGCTGAAAACTCCTGTTTAAATCTCTCGGTTTATTCAAAAGCCCCGGTAGTTGGTAGACCAAGAAAATATAGGAGGTTGACTCAGTCTTTGTTTTGGCTTTTTCTGCAAAGTATTTATTTTAAATCATTTACCGAGAGAGAGAGAGAGAGCGGGGTTTTTTTTATTTTATTTTAAAAAGAGAGTGGGGTGGTTATTTATTGATGCTGTTAGATGTTTTCAGGAGGCTATTAGCGGACAGGGGAGATATGATTGGCTCAGGAGCAAATCTGAAGTTCTCTCTCCTTGGACTGTCTGGAGCATTGATCTCATCTGATGGCTGAGTTTCGTCCAATGCAGGCAAGAAACGATGCCATCATGCCAAGATGTCCGCACAAAGAATATTTTAAATCTAAACCATTCAGAAAATACTTTTCATGGTTTAGATTTAAAATTTTAATAATTTTTAAGAAATAAAATTATTTTTATTGAAAAAAATGATAATTATTTTAAATCTGTATCTATTAAAATACTTTTTTTCCAAAAAATAAAAATAATAAAAACATAAATCTGGATTGTCTCTAAGGGTATGTTTGGCTCAATGAGAGGAAGGGGAGGGGAGGGATTTTCATGGAGGGAAGGGGAGGGAAGGGGAGTGAAAGGATTTTAATATTATCTTGTTTGGATTTATAAAAAAAGAGGGGAGGGGAGGGAAAAATATTTTAATATGGACAATTTTGCTCTTATTTTATTTAAGACATGGGCATAATAGTCACAATATAAAAAAATATGGGTATAATAGTTACAACATGGCAAAATATGAGCATAATGGTCATAACATGGCAAAATATTACCTTTTCCCTCCAAATTCTCCCAATTTTGGAGGGGAGGGGAGGGAAAATTTTAAAAAATTTTCCCTCCCCTCCTAAAACTTGTGTGTTGCCAAACAAAGGGAAATGATTAAAATCCCTCTCCTTCCCTCCCAAATCCCTCATACCAAACACACCCTAAACAATCGGAAGGGGCACGGAATACGATTAAAGAAATCAACCGCTCAATCTTCAATATCGTATATAAGACTATAATTTTGATTGACTTTTTATTTTGCATTAGCCAGCTTCACATTGTTCGTTTATTAATCCACCGTTAACGTCAAAGCCCGCAAATTAAATATGCAGTTCGAGCTTCCAGGAACAAGCATTTGAAAAAAGCACGCAATATCACCAAAAAGGTTCGTAATAAGACCTCTCCAAGATTCTTCCAGGGGAACAAATGGACTTGTATTCGATACACAGATAATATAACCAAATTAGTATGGATATTTTAAGAAATAATTACAATGAGACCTTAAGAAAAAAAATAATTATTAAAAAGTCTCAATAATAATTTAAACAGCCCTAATGACAAATTTTAGAATAAAAAATGATAACTTTTAAAATTTGTTTTGTAATTTTTTTTTTTTGAGACCTCATTATAATTTTTTTATATTTTTAAGTTGTGCACTGTGTATAACTGTCTTGCAGGCTGCACCTTGTCCCATGTCACCAACTAAAATTTTTTATTTTCTGCCATCATCTTTCAAACTTTAGTTCCCACTATTTTATATCAAACAAATAAGAAAGGGATTGTTTCTGGATGTATTCAAAGTGCCCACCCAATATAAGGAAAGAAAAAAGGTTAAGACCAAGACAATATTGTGAACTCATATATCATACGCTTCCCCTTAAAATGAAGTTCCGCAACTCAAAGCAATAATCGGATCATCATCCACCGTTTTCTTTTAATCCAAGTAGGGTGAAATAAAAGTATCTTGTATGACAGAAAGCAGAAGCATACGAATACCCAGAAGTTTAGTCAAACAATTTGTATAACATATGGACCAAACCAACTTGGCCAAATTTATCTTTTAACATTGCAAAAACTATTTTAATTTCTTGGTTTATCTGTTTATCATATAGCGCTACTATATATCTCTCTCCTCCTAATTTTACATGAGCTCAGGGCCCCAAAAATTTCACTCGTCTTCAACACGTTCAAATCAATTCTGTACACCAATCTTTTAGGCAATCTCCAGACAATATAATGATTTTCAATTCAGCTGTACATTCTTAATATAGTTGCAATAAACGTTTAAATTTACTGCTCACCACCATTATCAGATTCATCTGGCTACAAGTAAGGAAACTGTCATTTCATTGGTTGAGCTGTGTTCCTTCTGATTTGAGTCTGAACTATGTGGTTGGAATGAATCGTTGCCATTAAAGAATCCTGGTTGTTTAGGTTCAGGAAGTTCAATCTCACTTTCCAACATCAAAATTGCAGATGCTATGGTGGGTCTATCCTCTGCATTGTGCTGCACACATAATAGACTCACATGAAGGCACCTTAATACTTCTGATTCATTACATAATTCGTCCTTTATGTTTTTGTCAACCAATTCTAAAGCCCTCCCTTTCTTCCACTGCATCCATGCCTGAAAACACATACAAATTGTTTATCAATTTTATTTCAATATGACATTAAAAGAAGTTGGTGAAATTGTATCTACGGTACTCACAAAACCAATAAGGTTATGTTTGGATTCTTCAACATAAAATCCTCTATTTTTCTTCCCACATATAACCTCCAGCACTAATATCCCATAGCTAAATACATCAGATTTTATTGAGTACAACCCATCAGCAGCATATTCTGGTGCCATATACCCGCTGCAAAATATAGCCATTAGAAGTTTATAACAAAGTAATTGGTAAAGATATGGAAAGATTGGAATTTGTTTGCTTGAAAGTAAGGCTTGGATGAGAAACTTACTAAGTCCCTACTACTCTTTTTGTATTGCCTTCTATCTCCTCATCTTCAAAAGTTTTTGCCAATCCAAAATCTGATATTTTGGGGATTAACTTATCATCAAGCAAAATGTTACTTGCTTTTAAATCTCTATGAATAATTCGTAGTCTTGAATCTTGATGAAGATACACAAGTCCTCGACCAATCCCCATAATAATACCAAAGCGTTTCGACCAATCTAACAACTCTCCTCTACTTTCATCTGTCAACATCAAAAGGTGAATTTGTTCTTTAGTCGCAATGGTTAATTTCAAGACTGAATAAGCTATTTAATTATTGGTACTGAAAACATTCAGTGAAATGATAAAACCGAATATAAAAGATAGAAGAGTCATTGGCAGAAGAGAAGGTACCGAAAATGAAGGAATTCAAACTTTTGTTTGGCATATATTCATACACCAACATTTTTTCTTGTTCGTGAATGCAACAGCCAATAAGTTTTACAAGATTTCGATGCTGTAGTTTCACAATAAACTTCACTTCAGTTTTAAACTCAGTCAATCCTTGTCTTGATTTTCTTGATAGTCTTTTCACAGCAATTTCTCGCCCATTTGATAATTTTCCCTGCATGAAGACATGAATGAGCATATCTTTTTATAGTTATACTACATATATAGATGATTGCTCTTAGTTTATGATTCATATAGTAAATTACCCAGTATACATGTCCAAATCCACCTTGCCCAATTTTGTTCTTCTCCGAGAAATTATCAGTGGCTCTTGCTATTGTTGGCAGATCAAATATTGGGAGATCTGCATCGTTAGCGTCATCGTTTTGAATTTGAACTTCTATATTTTTTAATTTCTCTGAAATCATGGAAGGAAAGCATTAGCTTTTTGCACAAGCAAGAGAGGGAAGTTAATGAAATGGAATACAATCATATATTGAAAAGCAAGTTAAATTGACAAATCATTAAAGCAACAAATCTTTCAGTCAACACGATTTTGATAGCATTTGGTCAAGCCGCGTGGATGTTATAAATAAATAAACAAACATAAACAATATAGTACTCCTCCGATCCTTAATATAGAACCCAATTCTTGAGTTAGTTTTAGTCTTAAATATAAGACCCATTTCTCATATTTATCAATTTTCTCTAAATTATCCCTATGGATACTCCCTCAACCATAATCAAGTAGAAGAGGGAGAAGGAGGTATTAAGAAAAATGATTATGGTGTTTTAGGAAAAATGTGTCACTTTTCTTATGATTAACTAACTTACCTAACTTCCTTAATCTAATCAAATTAGTTAAATTGGTCTTATATTAAGGACCGGAGGAGTAGTTTGAATCATCTCCTGCAAATTTATCATAGCCGCCTAATAGTTTACTAAGTCAAGGAACATCATTAAGTATGAATTAGTTTCCTGTTAGTCTGTTAAAAGGTACTGTCATCTCAACCAATCCAGATGACTACATCCCTTTCTTTCAATTGTACCTTACATTTTTAGCATGAAATTCACAAATAACAGATCAGTACATTGGTAACTTTTTTGTATGATTTATTGGAGAAAGAAACTCTTACCAGTCCTGTTTCTGCGGACTCTGTAGATGATATAGCCCCCAACTAAAAGCATTCCAAAACTTGCACCAATGGCGATAATAACGATCATTATCAACTTCTTTTTTTTCCCAGATTCTGTAACCATGGTTTAAATCACTCTAAGGAACATGAAAATGAATGTATTAAGGGGAAAGTAGAAATTCTTACCTAATTCTGAAGCATCCATTCGAATGTACAGATCCTGTCCCCCAGATGCATAATATCTGATATCAGTTAGTTCACAAAACCATAAAGCACAACCACTACCTGCGCCTCTGACATCTGAATTAGCAAAAGCCGTGCAAGAACAATTTTCCAAGCACTTTTGTCTACATTGCTCTAGATTCATTGTCACATCCAGCCAAGTTTGCGTCGTGTCGGGTGCCTTCAAGCCCGTGAATTTAACGAACCCATGTTTGTGTTTTTCAGAGCAGTTCAGAGGTTTATTTCGCACACACCCACCAGACCAATCCGCCGAATTCCAATGTTGTGGTGACTTAGGGTTGAACCCTTTTAAACAGTGGCACACTGGAGATTCAGTAATTATGCAGTTCCCATTTGCTCCACAGAGGCCATAGGTGTCGCAGAAGTCTACTGGCTTTTTCGAGTAAATAGTCCATTTTTTCTCAGTTTCCAGCCATACATAACGATAGCGAGCAGAATCTGTTTGGTTCAATACCAGTCTTGTTAATACAGAACTATTTTTGAGGTTGAACATGAAGTAGTTCTCGTCCCCATCGTCAACAAAGGTGTATTCGAAAACAGGGTTGGTCTTCACTTCGGGAGAACCACTCCCTCGCAAGCCATTCCACGGTCCAAATCGGTAAAATTTGTTGGTTCCCTTCATTATATACGAATCGGGGTAGTTATGAAGCATTAAAATGTTGGTAAAATCTCCAGGAGATGGATCATCCGGGCTCTTCCAAGCTGTTAAAGACCACGCCCAACCATTTCTTAAGTCCCATCCATATTTCATACCTGGCAATAACGTATCAGACGGATGATCAAAGCTTTGCCATAAGTAAGCTTCTGGCTTTCCTGCATTCTCATCGATCACTACAAGATTCCCAGAATCCAAGAGCCGGGAGGTGGGACTCTGTGCCTGAGCCGTGGAATTTGTTGACCAAAGAATAGTGCTGTTCTGGGACAGGACAAGATTGCCGGAAGTGGCCATAGTTAAGGTAACAGTGGAATCGTTGATTGGGTTGATGCGGTTTGCAACCCAGACAACGGTTTGAACCGGGATATTCTTGTACCAAATACCAAGGTAGCGTTTGTTGGAAGTACCAGGAGTGAAGAAACCGAGTTCAAAGGTTCCACCTTTTGAAACCAACGTGGTTCCATCGTCCTTGATGAACTGCGACTCACGAAGATAATCAGCTGCAATGGAAAGCTGGAGGATGTGAAGAAGAACACAAGCAAAGATGCTCAACGAACCAAGAAGGTCCATTGAAAGTCGAGGGAAATCGAAGGAGGAAAAGTTATTTTGCTCGACCTTTCTTATACATGTTGGGCTGCTCATACGATGCTGACACAAAACAGATCCAAAGTGGCTTGCGATTTGTCAATTTTAGGTTTTGTTTGGGTCGGAGCCACGCTGACTTGGAACAGTGAAATTGAGTTGGTCTTGGTGATCGCGCAAGGGGTACAGAAGCGCAAGAGTAATTTTTCTCCAAAAGTTTTTTGGCTTGCTTGAAAGACATTACAGATAGATAATGTATTTGACTGGTTCTAAGGGAAGCGTTAATTAATACTTAATTCGCTGTATTATTGTTGATGCTGGTGGGTAGACTTTTTTTATTTTGCCTTCTCATTGTCCTTCTGGGTCAAAGTCATGTGCAAAGATAGTTTTTTAGAATAAAATTAAAAATACATGCTACATTCAAAGAAGCTAATTGTATAAAAATATTAACAAGCGTCAATAATATACATCTTATCTTTTAGATTCTATGTAACATAAAGTAATTGTCTCGATAAAACCATACAACTAATCCAGAAGTGTACGTATGCTAGAGTTTAGGAATTTAATATATATATATATATATATATATATATATATTGATCACAAGAAATTCTAAAAGCACTGCCAGACAGTCGTAGAAGAAAACAAAGATATAAAATAATATAAGAAATTAAGGACTGTTGTAAAAATTTATGTTGATTTCGTAGTGATCGTTTTGCCCCCAAAAAAAATAATAATAATAGAGCGAAGGATCTTGTACCATAAAGAAATCAAATGCTTAGTAAAACTGAAATGTAACTATTGAACAGAGTACATGGATGAAGAACAACATACAGTTTTAGGTACTGAGATAGGTCAATGAACGGGCCTTGTGATTCATTACTATTTCTAGCTTTTATTTCCTTCAACAATTTAATTATTATCTATGCATTATATGTGCCAAATTCATACACTTGATATATCTAGTTTGCATAATATCTACATTTATGTTGTAAATGTGACAGCTCAAACCCCACAAATTTTATTCATCATCAACATCACTCCGCATTCAACTCAACAGCAACCCCAAAGAGAATCTCCAAACAATCAATTTATTTATGTGTACATTATAAAGCATGGTTGCATGAAACTTACGGCCATCACAATCAAATTCATCTGGCATCAAGTAAACTCACTGTCATTTCATTGGTTGAGCTGCATTCCTTCTGACCTGATGAGCTAGAAGTATGCCCTTTGATTGAGCCCATGCCATGAAAGAAACCAGGCTGTTTAGGTTCAGGGAGTGCCACTTCACTTTCCAACATCAAAATTGCAGATGCTATGGTGGGTCTATCATCTGGATTTTGTTGCACACACAACAGACTCACATGAATGCACCTTACTACTTCTGACACATTGCACAGTTCCTGCATGTTCTTGTCAAGCAATTCTAAAACTTTTCCTTCTTTCCATAGTAACCATGCCTGAAATATACATCTTATATATCAATTATCATATTTTAGTTTGACATTCAATAAATTTTACAATATCGTATCTGAAGTACTCACATGACTAGCAAGATTGTGTGTTGAGTCTTCTAGATAAAATCCTCTGTTTTTCTTTCCACTAATAATCTCTAGCATTAATATACCATAACTAAAAACATCAGATTTCACTGAATATAGCCCATCTGCTGCGTATTCAGGAGCCATGTACCCACTACAAAACATGCATGAGAAGACTAGAACAAATTAGACATGAAAAGTTAAGAAGTTGGCTAAAGTAAGATTGAGTCTAGAAACTTACTAAGTGCCCACTACTCTCTTTGTAATACCTTCTTTTTCCTCTTCTCCAAAAGTTTTTGCTAGCCCAAAATCTGATATTTTTGGGATTAACTTGTCATCAAGTAAAATATTACTTGCCTTCAAATCTCTATGAATTATCCGTAACCTTGAATCTTGATGAAGATATAAAAGACCCCGTCCAATACCCATAATAACGTGAAAGCGCTCAAACCAATCCAACAATTTCCTTTTGGTTTCATCTATTATCATAAAAGAGGAAGTTATTTCTCTTGTTAGAATTATCAATTCAAATTTGAAGGGTCATGCAATGTTTGACTATTGCTACTAAAATACTTCATATCATTATAAATTTTCTTGTCTTCATACCAAAAATGAAGGAGTCCAAACTTCTATTTGACATGTACTCATATACCAACAACTTTTCTTGTTCATGGATGCAGCAGCCAAGAAGTTTTACTAGATTTCGATGTTGGAGTTTGGCAATAAATTTTACTTCATTCTTGAATTCAATCAATCCTAGTTCCGATCTTCTTGAAAGCTTCTTCACAGCAATTTCTTGTTCATTTAATAACTTTCCCTGCATTTTGAACTTTTTGAGTGTACTGAAATTGTGCTATTCATAAAATACACAGTGATTATTCTAAGTTCATGACTCAAACATTGAATTACCCAATATACAGGTCCAAATCCACCTTGTCCGATTTTGTTCTTCTCTGAAAAATTTTCGGTGGCTTGTTCTATTATTGGAAGGTCAAACAGTGGGAGATCTAGATCTTCTCTTTCATTGTTTTGAATCTCAACTTCTGCATTTTTTGATTTCTCTGAAAAAAAAAAATCATGGAATCTGCGTAAGGGCAAGGGATTTAGTTATGACCTTGTGCATAATTGTTCTAAAGGCCAAGGAAAAACACCGGTGACTACTGCAACATGGGGGGAAATCAAATTTTACTTAAGAAGTATAGGGTGTGAGGTTAAATAAGCACAAACATTGCAGTGTGAATTTTTTTCCCGCTGGGTTCCCATCATCAACAATTAATTAACTGATTCGAGGACTGAATGAAATACAAAAGAGGATGATCATGAAGGAATTCTCATGTTCATGTTGCTAAGTAGTGTGGTATCATAATCCTAACCCATATTTACAAATACTCCTTCAATCTTAAATATAAACTCATTTTGTATGTAAATTATACTACAAAATGGGTCTTATATTTAGGATTGGAGAAGTACTAGATATGAACATGGCCAATCTTGCCTTATGAAATCATAACAACTATCGCATTTCTAAGAAGAAATCTAAAAGAGTAGGACTTGTTTGAAATTTAAAAATAAGAGTAAGGAACTTTACCAATCCTCTTCCTGTAGACTTTACAAATGAGATAGCCCCCCACTAAAAGCATGCATAAAATCACAGCAACGGCGATGGCAACGATCATTATCAACTTTTTATTGTTCCCAGATTCTGCATAACGGTGGTTGAATGATTCATGCGCAAAGAAACTGGGGTGAAAATTCAAGCATGAAAATATACCACATAAAGCGGAAAATAGAAGTCCTCACCTAATTCTGAAGCAGGCATTCGAACATACAGATCCTGTCCTCCAGATGCATAAGATCTGATATCATTTAGATCACCAAACCATAAGGCACAACCACTACCTCCCCCTCTAATATCTGAATTAGTATAGGCCATGCAAGAACAATTTTCCAAGCACTTCTCTCTGCATTGCTCTAGGTTCATTGCCTTGTCAAGCCAAGCGTCTGTAGTTTCAGGCACTTTTAATCCTTCCAATTTTATAAATTTGTCTGTGCCATTTTCAGAGCAGTTCAGAGGTTTATTGCGGACACATCCATCAGACCAGTCCACTGAGTTCCATTTCTGAGGTGACTTGGGGGTGAACCCTTTTAGGCATTGGCATGGGGGTGATCCAGTGATAACACATTCCCCATTAGGTCCACACCACTTATATTGATCACAATTGTCACTAGGCTTTTTAGTATAACTCTTCCAATTTTCCTCACCTTTCGTCCACACATATCGAATTCGAGCCTCCTCAGTTTGGTTGATCACATACCTTGAGATAACAGAACTATTCTTGAGGCTGTGCCAATAATAGTATATCTCATCTCTAGTTGATACGAACCCAAAATCAAAAATAGGATTTTGTTTCAGTTCCGGGGAGCCACCAAATCCCACGCCATTCCAAGGTCCAGTTCTGAAGAACTTTGATTTTCCTCTCAGTATATATAATTCAGGATGATTACGAGGGTCGACAGTTATAGAAAAATCACCAGGAGATGGATCTTCTGGAGTCTTCCAAGATGTTAGACGTCTATTTAAACCTGTTCTTAGGTCGCATCCCAATTTCATCCCCGAGAGCAGTGTGTCAGTCGGATAGTCGAAGCTTTGCCACAAATAGGCTTCTGAGTTCTGGCCTCTCTCATGTCGTACCACAAGGTTTCCCGAATCTAGGAGCTCAGCCACTGAATTCTGTACTGGTTTCAGAGGAGTTGAGTACCAAATAACACTATCATTTTGGGTGAGGACAAGACTACCTGTGCTGTTGAGTGTTAAAGTAGCAGTGGTAGATGAACCATTGATCGGGTTATCTCTGTTTGCTACCCAAACAACTGTCTGAATTGGGATGCTTCTGTACCAAATCCCCAGATACTGTTTACCGGAGTTTCCAGGAGTGAAGAAGCCAAGTTCGAAGCTTCCACCTTTAGAAAATATTCTCGTGCTATCACTCATTGGGGAATTAGACTGAAGGATGGAACTTTCTGCCACAGAAGCTTGGAAAGAAGGGACAAGTATGGAAACAACGGTAGTGATGAAAGAAACAATGTCCATGGAATTGTAGAGTCTATAGGGAAGGCCAATACAAGCTAAATTCCTCTTGTTGCAGAAAACTGTTTGATTTTAGATGGAGGAACAAGCTTATCAGTGAGGCCATCAGCCTACCAGTGCCCGAGATGAGAGGTTATGACAAGTCAACGGCAGCGGTCATAGGACACATAGTGGATGGGAAATCAAAGCTCAGAGGCGAACAGGAACTTTAAACGTATGTGTATTCACAAAGGGAGTGGATTAAGCGATGAATCTTTGTATGACTTAAGACTTAAATGTACGAGTAGGATTTCACGAGAGTACCCCTAAGTTTAGCCGTCATGAATTTCCAATTTCCAGTCGTTGTTCCTGTTGCTTTACCGCGTATATCACTATATCTCCTCCTGGGTATAACATCAATTTGCCCAGGACCGCCAAGAGTGATGGGTCCAAATTTCAGTTTTTCCTGTGAAGTAGGGGCGGACTCAGTTATTGTGTGGGCCCCCTCATTCCAAGTTTCCAACATCCTCCGTCTTATCTCTTGTTCCACCAATGGGCCTTTTCTCTCCAAAATGTGTTACCCCTTTTCTTTTAAAATGCGTTGCATTATTTTCTATCCTAGTCTCTATATCTAATATTTAAAAATTTAAAGAGGCTAATGGGAATTGGGTCTAGCAGGAGGAGCTATTTTTCACAATATGATAAATTAAGGTTTCAATTCCTACTGAAAGAGATGCCTACACTTAGTATCCGACAGTGTCTCGAACATGATTGTCTTTAATAAGAGGATATCTATACTTATAAAAAAATATTTAAAAATCTACTTCAAAAAATTATTAATACCAATATTAAAAATAAAAAAATTTAAATATATAATACTTTTTAAATCCTGGCCTACTACTTTTGTTAAAACGCTAACTTATTTTGAAGGCTTTGATATTTAAACGCGTCGCATTTAGTTAATAATTAGTTTCTCAAAAATGTTATTATATTAAGTTATCAAGATTAATATAATTATTAGTCCTTATATTTTTAACAACATTTTATTTTTTAGTCAACATAATTTTAAATCGCTGTTTTGATTCCAAAAAAAGCTTCAATACTTAATTCCTTATATTATTATTGATATTTGATGTATTTGTGTAGAGTATTTGTTTATTTTGCGTTCTCTTTGTTGTCCTGCATCGAAGTTAGGACCAAGATGGTTTTGCTTGTACATTCAAAGAAGCCAATTATGTGTGTGTGTCTCTCTCTATATATATATATGTTTAACAAGTGCCGATATTTATAATTTTTAAAATGGTGCGGCTTATCTTTTAGATTCTATATAACACGAAGAAATTGTCTAGATAAAGCCATACAAGTAATCCAGAAGTGTACTGAAACTGAAACAATCATCAATATGTGTGTGCGCGCGCGCGCGCGTGCATATATATATATTCTTCGCTCGTATTTAACCGCGCTCACTACATCATCCAGCCAAGAACACTTGCATTGATCTCACTTTGTTACTGCAGTCATCAAGGCACAAACCCGAAGATGCTCTGGAGAAGGTAACATAGATTATAACTTTCACAGAACGTTTAACCTCAGCAATATACTATTTCTAACTTATATTCATTTCAACAATTTATTATCTATGCATTATTTATGCTGAACTCCTATACCTGATTCTCTCACACACACACACACATTTCATTTGGCTTAAGATTCTTCGACATGTATCTAGTTTGCATAATATCTGCTTACCAACACGCCTTGATTTATGTTGCAAATGTGACAGTTCGAAACCCAAAAGTTTCAGTCGTCTTCAACATCATTCCTCATTCAACTCGATTCTGCTGCAATGGTTTTTTATAACAATAGCAAGGCAATCTCCAAACAATCAATTTATTTATGTGTACATTCTAAAGCACATATAGTTAGTTGCTTTAAACTTCAAGCCACCACAATCAAATTCATCTGGCTTCAAGTAAGGTCATTGACATTTATTGGTTGAGCTGCATTCCTTCTGATTTGGGCTAGAAGTATGCTCCTTGAGTGAGCCCACGCCAGGAAAGAAACCAGGCTGTTTAGGTTCAGGGAGTGCCACTTCACTTTCCAACATCAAAATTGCAGATGCTATGGTGGGTCTATCATCTGGATTTTGTTGCACACACAACAGACTCACATGAATGCACCTTACTACTTCTGATACATTGCACAGTTCCTGCATGTTCTTGTCAAGCAATTCTAAAACTTTTCCTTCTTTCCATAGTAACCATGCCTGAAATATACATCTTATATATCAATTATCATCTTTTAGTTTGACATTCAATAAATTTTACGATATCGTATCTGAAGTACTCACATGACTAGCAAGATTGTGTGTTGAGTCTTCTAGATAAAATCCTCTGTTTTTCTTTCCACTAATAATTTCTAGCATTAATATACCATAACTAAAAACATCGGATTTCACTGAATATAGCCCATCTGCTGCGTATTCAGGAGCCATGTATCCACTACAAAACATGCATGAGGAGATTAGAACAAATTAGACATGGAAAGTTGGGAAGTAGGCTAAAAGTAAGATTAGGTCAAGAAACTTACTAAGTGCCCACTACTCTCTTTGTACTGCCTTCTTTTTCCTCTTCTCCAAAAGTTTTAGCTAACCCAAAATCTGATATTTTTGGAATCAACTTATCATCAAGTAAAATGTTACTTGTTTTCAAATCTCTATGAATGATTCGTAACCTTGAATCTTGATGAAGATATAAAAGACCTCGACCAATACCCATAATAATGTGGAAGCGCTTAAACCAGTCCAACAATTTCCTTTTGGTTTCATCTATAGACATAAAAGAGTAAATTATTTATCTCATTAGAATTATGAATTCAAATTTAAATATCAGTACCAAAATAAATGATGTAATTATAAATTTTCTTGTCTTCATACCAAAAATGAAGGAGTCCAAACTTCTATTTGGCATGTACTCATATACCAACAACTTTTCGTGTTCATGAATGCAACAGCCAAGAAGTTTTACTAGATTTCGATGTTGGAGTTTGGCTATAAATTTTACTTCATTTTTGAATTCAATCAATCCAAGTTCTGATCTTCTTGAAAGCTTCTTCACAGCAATTTCTTGTCCATTTAGTAACTTTCCCTGCGTGTTGAAATTTTTGAGAGTACTGAAAAAAAATACTATTTATAACATCTGATTATTCGAAGTTCATGACTCAAACATTGAATTACCCAATATACAGGTCCAAATCCACCTTCTCCGATTTTGTTCTTCTCTGAAAGATTTTCAGTGGCTTGTGCTATTGTTGGAAGATCGAACAGTGGGAGATCTAGATCATCTCTTTCATTGTTTTGAATTTCAACTCCTGCATTTCTTGATTTCTCTGAAAGAAGCATGGAATTTGAGTAAGGGCAAGACGATGACTATACATAATTGCTCTAAAGGCCAAGGGAACATAAGTGACTAATGTAGCTGTAATGAACACCCCTCAACTAAATTAAAAGCACAGAGAAAATTTGCACAAGAAGAGTCAAATTTATGAAGCTATAGGGTTTCATTACTGGAAGTGCATTTGACAGATTTATATAATTGTAAATATTTGATGCAAGACCAAATATTATTGGAGATGCAATGAAAATAAAGTCTAGAAAATTAAATGAAACAGGGAATGTTCAGAAGGAAGCAGAGAGGAAGATGAAGAAGAAGAGAGGCGCAAGAGGGCGAAGAGACTTCTTAAAGTAGTCGGCCCATTGGTGCTCTCAACATCATTCAAGCCCACCTTAAGTTGGACAAGATTAAAAAAAGTCAAATTCTAGTTTAGAAGCAGAGGGTGAGGATAAATAAACACATATACAGAAGTGTGAATATATTTTCTTTTAAGTTCCCATCACCAACAATTAACTAACTGGTTATAGGACAAGATCAAATACAGAACAAGACGATCAGGAAGGAATTCCCCTCTTCATCTTGCTAAATGGTAAGCTACCTAAATCCCAACCCATACCTACGAATAATAGATATGGACACAGCATTTCTAAGAAGCAGCCCGAAGCAGTGGGACTTGACTGAGATTTAAAAATAGGAGTAAGGAACTTTACCAATCCTCTTCCTGCAGACTCTGTAAATGAAATAGCTCCCAACTAAAAGAATGCATAAAATCACAGCAATGGTGATGGCAACGATCATTATCAACTTTTTATTTCTCCCAGGTTCTGCATAACCGTGGTTGAATGATTCATGCACAAAGAAACTCGGGTGAAAATTCAAGCATGAAAATGTACCAAATAAAGCAAAATAATAAAAGTCCTCACCTAATTCTGAAGCAGGCATTCGAACATACAAAACCTGTCCTCCTGATGCATAATACTTGATATCAATTAGATCACCAAACCACAAGACGCAACCACTGCCTGCCCCTCTGATATCTGAATTAGTGTAGGCCATGCAAGAACAATTATCCAAGCACTTCTCTCTGCATTGCACTAGGTTCATTGTCTCATCAAGCCAAGAATTTGTAGTTTCCGGCAATTTCAACCCTTCCATTTTCATAAACTTGTCTGCGTATTTTTCAGAGCAGTTTAGAGGTTTATTGCGGACACATCCATCGGACCAGTCCACTGAGTTCCATTTCTGTGGTGACTTAGGCACGAACCCTTTAAGGCATTGACAGGGGGGTGATTCAGTAATGACACATTTCCCATTGGGCCCGCACAGCTTATATTGGTCACAGTAATCACTAGGCTTTTTAGCATAAAGCTTCCAATTTTCATCACCTTTCAACCACACATAGCGAATATCTGCTTGCTCAGTTAGGTTGATCGTATACCTTGAGATTATAGAACTATTCTTGAGGGTGTACCGATAGAAAGCCTCATTTCTTGTGGATACGAACTCAAAATCGAAAATGTAATTCTCTTTCAGTTCTGGTGAGCCACTAAGTCCCACGCCATTCCATGGTCCATTTCTGAAGAACTTTGAACCTTCTTTCATTATATAAAATTCAGGATAGTCACGGGGGGCTAGAGTTAGATAAAAGTCACTTGGAGATGGATCTTCCGGAGTCCTCCAGGCTGTTAGACGTCTATTCAAACCTGTTCTCAGGTCATATCCCAATTTCATCCCCGAGAGCAGTGTGTCACTTGGGTAGTCAAAGCTTTGCCACAAATATGCTTCTGGATCATCGTCCTTCTCATCTCGAACCACAAGATTTCCAGAATCCAAGAGCTCAGCCACTGGATTCTGCACTTGTTTCAGAGAAGTTGAATTCCAAATAATAGTGTCATCTTGGGCCAGGACGAGGTTGCCTGTGCTGTTGAGCATTAATTTAGCAGTGACAGAGGAACCATTGATTGATTTGTCTCTGTTTGCTACCCAAACAACTGTCTGAATGGGGACGTTCTTGTACCAAATTCCCAGATAGTGTTTACCAGAGCTTCTAGGACTGAAGAAGCCAAGTTCAAAGCTTCCACCTTTGGACACTAATGTCATGCCATCAGTCATTAAGGAATTGGGCTGAAGGATGGAATCAACTGCCCCAGAAGCTTGTAAAGAAGAGATAAGTATGGAAACAACAACAGTAATGAAATGAACAATATCCATGGAATTGCAGAAAACTGTCAGGTTTTAGATGGAGAAACAAGCTTATCTGTGAGGCAATTAATCCATCCATCTGCCCAGGATAAGAGGGTGTAACAAGTCAAGCACAAGTCAACTGCGGCTGCCATAGGACACATAGTGGTTGGGCAATTAAAGCTCAGAGGCCGATAGGGACTTTAGATGTATTAGGTATCAACAAAGGATGTGGATTAAGCTTGAGAGCCATGAATAGTTTTTTTAAAAGAATTGTCGGTTGGATGCGTAGCCGTCAAAGTATAGCTTTTTTTTCTTTTTTTTTAATAGTGAATTTCAAATTTCTTGACAATATTGCACGAGTGATCCTTCTTCTGCATCACTTGTATATCTTTTCGTGCTAAAAGGTAGAAAGACGAGCCTCTCCCATGTGCTAGAGACCGCAACTGAATGATCAAAACGTCCTTTTTTTTTTTTAAACAAGGTTTCGTATTTAAAAGTACTAACTGCGACCGCCGGAAGCTCCAATATGTTGATCATATTTCCAGAGAAAAAGAATTCATTCATCTCCATCCCAGAGATATTGAAATGACATTATTTTTCAAAACAAAAAGTTGAATATTTGAGTGTACGAGGCAATCCATCCATCCAATAAGCTCTTTTATTTTCATTTATAATTTATAATTATAATATAATTCTTATAATTAAAATTTATATGAGAATTTTATTTCTGTATAAAAAAAAAATAACAGTCAAACTAAAATAAAATTAATTTTTGGATTTTATTTATTAATTATTTACTTCAAAATAAATTTTTTTTCCTTGCCCTAATTTTCTTACCATCCAAACACGGGAGATTAGCCTTAAATGTTAAATTTTGTTTTCTTTTTTTCCCCAGAAAACTATGGGTTTGATGGGTACCTGTACAAAATCTCTTGTGAAAGAAGGGTAAAAGTAAATGGATATCCCGTTAAAATGTACATCTCTTATATAGACACTTGTATGTCACACGTGTCACGTGCAAAGAAGACCAAATCGATTAGAGCAGAGAATAGTTAAATTACACTTGAGTTGAAGCTAAATACCTTATTCTAACATCATTTCTTGAAAAATTATGCCCAAGTGGTCCTTGCTGTTTTACGATATTATATCTCGTCGCACAGAGACCGACTCATTGGTGGATCAAAATGTCGGTTTTATTTTCAGGTTTCATGTAGTCGAAAGAACATGTTCAAGTCTTAAATCCATAAATAGATACACATTTTGAGCATCCGCTATGATCTCAAGGCCAAATCTTCTTCCCTTTCTTGGGTGGCCATGGATCTTAGATCTAAATCTTTCAATTCTTCTTCAAGCGTAGTTCTGGTAATCCATGACAAGCAAGAAATTTGGCTAAAACAACAGTGTTCCAACATGGTGACAGCGTGAAACAAGACAAATTCATCTATTCCGTAGGATTCAATACAAAGAAGGACTTTTTAGTCCTCCTGTCCACTTTACACACACAAAGGGAATGTACCGCTTGACTTTTACTGCGTTTTCCTGTAATTATCACCGAGCCTCTAGTAAGGTGAGTGTTATTTCATTAGTTGAACCAGACTGCATTTGATGACTTGATGATGAACTTGCTTCTGATGTAGCCTTCCCCGTAAAGAAACCAGGTTGTTTAGGCTCATTCAACTCATTCTCACTCCCCAACATCAAAACAACAGAAGACATGCTGGGTCTGTCTTCAGGATGCTGTTGCACACACAGAAGACTAATGTGGATGCATCTCATTATTTCTGATACAACGTATGTCTCCTCTATGTTTCTGTCTATCAGTTCTAGAGCCCTCCCTTCTTTCCACAGCAACCATGCCTGAAAACACGAACTTCCTTATCATTTGTCACTTCATAGAGTAATATGATCAGGAAAAATGTCTCGTACACTTACATGACATATGAGGTTATGAGAACGGTCTGCATTATAGAACCCTCTGTTTCTCTTCCCATATATAATTTCCATTACCAGAATACCAAAGCTGAACACATCAGATTTTGTTGAGAATAATCCGTCCGCTGCATACTCAGGTGCCATGTAACCACTACAAATATCATTTTGAAAATAATAGTTAGAAGCTAGCTAGTGGTGGACTCTAGTTGTTCAAAAAACTTGGTATGAGTAAATTAAACAAAAAAATACTACTAGGTACCCACTACTCTATTTGTATTGCCTTCTATTTGCTCTCCACCAAAGGTTTTAGCCATGCCGAAATCTGATATCTTTGGATTCAACTTTTCATCAAGTAAAATATTACTTGCCTTTAAATCTCTATGAATAATTCTCAATCTCGAATCCTGATGAAGATACATGAGACCTCGAGCAATACTGCAAATTATGTTAAAACGTTTTGGCCAATCCAGCAACTTACCTCGATTTTCATCTGTTACAAATCCCATTAAAAGTAAATAACATTTTCTCTAATTTAAAATATTTTTTTCATGAGTTGCAACATATATAATGACACTAAAAATCAGAGATATTTTGTTATATTAGTACCAAAAATAAAGGAGTTCAAGCTTCCATTTGGCATGTACTCATAAACAAGCATTTTCTCTTGTCCTTGAAGGCAGCAACCAAGAAGTTTTACAAGATTTCGGTGTTGAAGTCTTGCAATTAGTCTCACTTCATTCTTGAATTCAATTAATCCCTGTCTTGAGCTCATAGAGAGTCTCTTTACTGCAATTAATTTCCCATTCACTAATTTTCCCTGCACAATTACGTTGTGATTGTATTGATACATTAGATAAGTATAGGACTGCAATGCATTACACCCGTGATACAGGTAGATTGTCACATCTTTAATTAATCTTCAATCATCAAGCTACTGACAATAATGTAGAATTACCTTATATACAGTTCCAAATCCACCTTGTCCAATTTTGTTCTCCAACGAAAAGTTGTTAGTGGCATCAGCTATCGTGGGCAGGTCAAGCAAAGTGAGGTCTGCATCATCTTCAGATCCTTCACTGTGTTGATCTTCTTCTTTGATTTTTGCTTTATCTGCAAAATTAGAAGAAAAGTGTTCAGTTATTTCACGAGCATGAAACGAAGCTCATATAAATTTGTCACACATGCAAAAGAATAATAATAAAGTAAATTTACCAGTCATGTTTCTGCGGACATTGCAAATAAAGTAACATCCAACTAGAAGCATCCCTGAAGTTGCAGCAATGGTGGTAGCAACTATTATTATCAATTTCTTTCTGCGTCGATTTCCCACTTCTTCATGGTTGAGACAGATCAAACAAAAAGACTGTTCAATTAACTAATTGAAAGAGGGAAACTGAATTTTTGAAAAATGGAAAAGGATCCTTCATAGTAAAAAACAATTGAAGAACAATAAAGTGATAAAGTTTATGCATGTCCCCACCTAATTCTGAAGCAGCCATTCGCACATACAGATCCTGTCCTCCAGAAGCAAACTGTCTGATGTCCATAAGATCACCAAACCACATGGCACACCCAATCCCTTGTCCTCTTACATCTGAATTTGTGAAGGCCGTGCAAGAACAATTATTCAAGCATCTCTGTCTACATTCCTCTAAGGCCATTGTCTCATCAAGCCAAGTATGGGTTGTATCTGGCACTTTCAATCCTTGCAATTTGATAAAACCATCCTCAGAGCAATTCAGAGGTTCATTTCGGACACACCCAGCAGACCAATCCATGGAATTCCACGCCTGTGGTGACTTAGGATTGAACCCTTTTAAGCACTGACAAACTGGTGACTCAGTGATGATACAGTTCCCATTGGCTCCACACAAACCATAATGGTCACAGTAGTCTACTGGCTTTGATTTATAAACCATCCAGTTTTGATTAGCTTCCACCCACACATATCGATACCGAATGTAATCCGTTTGGTTCATTACTATCCTTGAATATACAGAACTGTTTGTCAGATAGTATGTGTAGGAGATCTCTTCCTTATTGTAGATGAATTTGAAGTAATAAACAGGGTTGGGTTTCACGTCCGGTGAGCCACTTGTGTGGAGACCATTCCAGGGTCCAAATCTGCTATAAACCTTATCTCCTCTCATTAGTGCAGAATCTGGATAGTTATGGGTATCTGTAACGCAAGAGAAGTCTCCTGGAGCGGGATCATCTGGACTCGTCCAAGCTGTGAGAGTCCAGTTCTTTCCTTTCTTCAGGTTATATCCAAATTTCATACCTGGCATTAATGTATCCGACGGAAAGTCAAAGCTTTGCCACAAATAATTTTCTGAATTTGCTTCGTTTTCCTCTCTCAATACCAGATTGCCAGAATCCAAGAGCTGCACCACTGGATTACGTGCTGTTTTCTCTGAGTTTGCCTGCCAAACGACAGTGTCATTTTGGCGCAGGACAAGGTTGCCGCTGGCGGTTAATGTTAGAATACCTGATGAACCGTTGATTGGGTTTACTCTGTTTGCGACCCAAACTACTGTCTGAATTGGGACATTCTTGTACCAAATACCAAGGTAGCGTTTCTTTGATTTTCCAGGACTGAAGAAACCAAGTTCAAAGTCTCCACCTTGAGAAACTAAGGTCATGCCATCTCTTATGAACTGGGTCGGAGCAATGGAATCTACTGCTACTGAAACTGAGAAGGAAGGGAGTAAATAAGTATTGATAATCAGGAAGCAAAGAATACCCATCAAAATAATACAAGGTAATTTGCACCACTCTGTATAGTGGCTAAATTTGATGATGAAGCTGTGGCTGACGAATAAGATATAATGTCAGTGATTGAGTTATAGGTATGGTGCGGCGTACGCATTATGCTAACTCCCATTGGTCGTCACAGTTATATATCCTCATGACAGCGGCACTGAGATTTTGTGGAAATATAATATTTGCTTCCAATTCATTAGTGTCTACCACAAAGTCAAGAGTCAACGTTGATGTCTAATATTTCAACCCCAATAACTACAGCAGGGCCCATTGGACATGATTTTCTCCCCACAAAAATCCGTTGCACCCGACATGGATGAATATGACAGAAATGAATGAA